TTGACTTATCCATGAATTTGACGATAGCTATGAATGGTACAGGAGCCGATGAGGTGGAATTGCATCAGGTACGTGATTGCAGAATATATTACAGAGGTGATAAAACTTCTTTTAGTTGGCCAAGGAGATAATTATGTATGGTGACGATGAAGCAAAAGTGCAGAGATTGTATGACGAATTTTTGGAGAACAAATCTGATGAATATAAAGATGCTTTTATGAAGAATTTTCTACACGAAAAGTATGTTTATAAATCTTTTACTTTTCACGTAACTAAAAAGCTGTTTTATTATGAAAATAAAACTTTAGAAGGCTCAATTACGTTAAGGAGCGAGTTGGGAAACTTCTAGGATATTATCTTACGAAGGAACAAATAAGAAAAGTAGGTTTAGTTTCCCGTTAGTGAATGTTTTAGCTTTTCTATTTAGCGTACCATTACCTGGGTAACATCACTTCCTACCTGCGGAGCAAATGTTTTGTGCGGTGTGGTGGCATAGCAGCGCTTTTGGCCCAATTTTTTCTTCCATATTTCCCTCTAAACTTCTACATAAAGTGTATACATAAGGAACCGTTAGCTTTAGTGGTTATTGGAAAAGAAATGTATAAAAGCAAAATCTGGGCAGAAACAATTGAAATGAAATAGTACTGATCGCGCGCCTCTGGCAACGGCACTATATTTTCAGTCGGCCGATATGGGGGTGTACGAGCTAGCTGAAAGTGCTTCAAGAGAGGACTAGTGATAGACACTAGGGCTTAATACGGTAGAGATCTTCTTTTGTCTATAGTATAAAATCGGAGATCTATTATATCAAATCACTGCCCTCATTTGGAATTGATTTTCTAATTTTTCTTCCTTCAAAAATGTGAGTGAGGCTAACACATAATGTTAGTCAGTTCTGCTACCCTCTTTTGAAAAGTTTTAACTTTCGCATTATCAAACTTCTCTACAATTTTTCAGCTCTAGGAAAATAAACTGCTATTGCTACCCTATTTAACATGTTTAATAACAGTGCAAATGAGCAATTTCACTCAAACCCACTAATCAAAAACTTCAAAATTAATTTTTTAGGCTCTAGGTCACCTATAACGTTTTATATAGCGGCTATACATTAGTGGCAGTCACAGGCGCGAGAGAGAAAGCGGAAATGGGCGGAGCCGAGTGCGACCTTATTTGGGCCAAGCGTAAAGGTTTTTTGCAAATGACTAAATTTTGAATTATATGAATAATTTTGAGTATTGTCATATGGAAGGATGTCATACATATTGTCATTCTATCATCTTATTTACAACTTCCACGTTTTTTGAAACTATTCATAGAATATGCATGGCAGTGAGTAGGGTCTTGCAAAAAGTGGGCGCTTTCGTTTTAGGTTCGGGACATAAGCATCAGTAAGGGCATGTTACCACTGCTTTTTTTCCATTCCCATTTCTTCAATCTGTAACAATTCCCAAAAATTTCAGTAAAATTTTTTTGCAGGTACGCCTAGTCTTGGAACAAGAAGCCGAGAAAGGATCTTCCCAAGAAGATGTTATAGCTGCAGTGAAAAAAGAGGTTGCTAAGGTGGGAACTAAAGCTTCTGTTTTCTGCTATACAATTCGTAAATCACGTAAACTTAGATTGCCTAGATTTTAGGAAATCGGTGAAAGGAAAGCAGAAAAAGCTGTCAATCGAGTAATCAAAGATCTGAGAATATTGGGAAAACGATATGTTGGTTGGATCGAAAAAGCTGAAAAACTATTTTACTCGATGGTCAAGCACGACGAGCACTAATTTCTAGCAAACAGCTATGGAGAAGTGTAATTACTTTTCAAAATTTATCTCAATTATTGGGAAATGGATTTTGAGAATGAGAAGTTTTTTCTTTCTAGTCTTTTACTGTATTGTTGAGACATATTATATTCTGTTTAATATTCTGCCTTCTTAGTGATATGATTACAAATCTAGGTTGTGACTGGATAAATTGGAACCCGACACAAAATAAACTGTTCAGCTATCCATTCCACAAGACTTCCAAAATGTGCGCAGAACAATTTATCGTAATTGCCTTTCAAACTTGCATGTATAGTTTTGTATTTTGATTCATTAAATTGGAGGCAGTGGGGCTTTGAGAATTCCACAATCCCGGCATTCTTTTATCCAAACACATTTGGAAGGACAACCAAAAAGTACAACATAAACTAATTATTTGCCAAACATCACCATATTTATGTTAGTTTGCTTGTTACGCCTAACACTGCGTACTAACAGAGTTCATTCCAGCAAACTCCCGTATTCAAGAGTATAAAGGTGGTTAGAAATTTATAATCTACGCCGCCCATCAAAAACTTAGGGTGAACGGTTGCCATTGCCCGTTAGAATGTGAGAAGTAGAAATGATGTAACGGGAAAAACAAACATATCACTTCATGCGCGGGTGCGCAGATGATGTTAAAGCTGTCATCCTTCAAAAAAATAGTAATCATATCAACTTGGAATGATGTTGTAATCAGTCTCAAATGTTTATCCTTCTTTTCCAACGTTTGAATAAAACTAAGTACAGTACGTACAGAATTTTCCGGGACTAGCAATTGTACTTTAAGTTCAAAATGGATAATTTTGTATGGACTACTAAATGTTCTGTTTCATGCAGCGTAGGTCAAATCTCAAGGAACCACAGTATGGCCAAGATGCGGTAGATGTGGTAGGGTAATCCTAACTTTACATCTCTTAACACTACATAATAAAACAATGAACATCATGCCATACCATCGATGTGTGTCGTTGGCACACTCCCAAGCTTTCACAAAAGGATCGCCACGAAGTTGCCCGTAGCCGTGACGTTTCTTAGCAATGGAGTTTATCAGCCGCCTCTAACAGTCTAACAATTATCATTGCTCCTTCATCGCCAACAAACCGTAATTGAGTGGGAGTTGACCACCGATCTAAAAGAACCGTACCTACAAAAGCTATAAAGAAGATGAAAAATCTACACCTTGTTCACGAAAACGATAGGTCCTTGAATTCTTACTGTTATTTATAGCTTTTGTATTATCGAAGTAACTTGTGTAACCACACTTTATGTCATCAGCAACTTTTCGCACAGCTCAATCTTTGACATCTGCATGTGCGCT